AGCAAACACGAAGGCGGTTGCAAATGAAGGCGAAGTAAGGGCAAGACATAAAAAAACCGGACACTTTTATATTTTTTTCGAGAGAACTATTAATAGCTCCTCATAGTTCGTTGCGTGTATCGAAACCGAAGAGATGTGAGTGTGCGCGTAATCTTAGCATCTTTAGTAGTTGGGGACTTCATCCCTTACACAATAAAAAATCGGTGACCTTTTTTTTTTTTTTTTTTGCAAATCATTGTAAATAGCTGTTGTTTGTAATTTAAGGGGGTGACGGTAACATAACAAAAAAAGGTTTTAATTAGGCAGTCTGGCACCGATAAAATAATTGTTATTTTGATGCGCAAACTTACGTACGCACGTATTTCAAAAGGATGGATGTGAAGCAAAAAAATCAAGATAAATGTACATTGACTGTCGACCATAATTCTAAACCACCCACTTTCCCGCCTTCACCGGAAATGCAAGATTCCACGAGTTCCATTGCAATATTCACCAATCATTGGTGATGCGATAATCACATCACGCCTGGGGAATGCGCGCAGTTAAAAAAAAAGATCAAAATGAAGAAGCTAAAATAAATAAAATAAATAAAGTGAGAAGGATGATGATAATTGGTCTCTTTATTTATTTGACGCCTTTACACTTAGAAGCAAGATAATGCGAATTAATATGAATTTCCGTAAAAGTCATCCACTATTCCACAAATTATAAATGCATCATGTATAATATGTCTATTGTAACGCTTTTTACACCGAATGCCCAAAACTAACTTCGGAGGTACATTAATAAAAAACAAGAAATTTCAAGGACAAAACGAAAAACGTGGTGAAAATCCCGATCAAAATATGAAAATAATTTACGGAACTTTGTTAAATAGACGTTTACCGACCGATATAATATACTGTATATGGATGTATATAAATGCTCGAGAAGATGACAAAGCGCTCAAAATTCTTTGTTTCGCTCGCTCACCTAGTGCCCGTCGACTAATGCAAGAGGTTTCAATAAGTAGACAAAGAAAAAGACGAGTAAAGTAACGGAGTTTTCTTTTTTTGAAGATAATGTATATGCTAGTTGATCTGTTGGCGACAGACTAGTGGAGACGATTTTTTTAGGCCGATGAACGTTAAAGGAAATAATGCCTTACCTTAAAATGCACATCGAATGCGAGTAACCATTTGTTATTGCATAAATAACAAATGAAAAAGCATGTTGGCAACCTGTTGGCGCATTTACTTGAAAAACTCCCGCAAACAATTGAAGAGTAAACAAAAACTAGGGAAACGAGGTTACCGAAGGTTAAATATAGTATAGAATTTCAGCCTTTGAATTTGTTTGCATTCAAATTTCCCTTTTTCCGTTATATACGGCACATAATAATAATGTACTGTACCGTGCCGTACACTGTATACAGTCAGTCAGTGTACAATATATACAGAAGATGTTTATTTCATCCTTTTACTACACAATGCGTCTAGGAAAATAATTACAAACGCCCTAGAAGAATAAAGAATAGCATTTCGCCTATAATAAGCAATCAACTTTGAATTGGAAATTTAGGTCGAGTCCCGTTTTTTCTCGAGATTCTCAAAAAGTCAAATTAGACGTTTGGTCTTTTCTATAATTATCGTCTCTGGTACGAATGTATCAGTATTTTTTTAGACGTCAATTGGTATAAAAAAGATGTTGATTCAGGCAAATCCTTTTTTTTTTTGAACAAAGTTCGACTCAATACACAAAAAAAAAGACACATGACACTTTTACAATCTCCAAGACCTAAGTAACATGTAAGCCGTACTTACATGCGAGCAGAAAGTGGAACGGTATTGACGTGTCACTTCTCGTCAGAGAGGTTCATATTTTAATGTAACACCGTTTAAAATAGTCCATAGTAGGAAAGAGAAGTCATAAAATACACAATGTGATCAGGTTACAGATATTTTTTTTATGGTTTGTTTTTTCTTTGGGCGGAGAATTAATGAAAAACTCCTTTAGACAGTTGGCGTTTCATATGACGGACCTGCTCCTACATGCCCTGATCAATGTTTTTCTCACAAAAGTACTTTTGAGTTATTGATGTACCATCAAACTGTCTTCATATACTGTGTGCTGTCATCCATCATTGACAATTGCAGGGAACAAATTTGGTCATCTAATTGCAATTAATATTGACGAAATGCATTATTACACCACACCACAGACAAAAGGGGTTGACCTTTTTCCGTTTAGCTCATTGTCATCGCCTTTCCCGGGGTTGATTTTTCTGGCGCTCATTTAGGTTCGACAGGGTCGAGTTTCCGTAAAAGATTTTCTTTCTTCCTCTTTACAATTTTATTGTTTCTACTGTATCATCATGTTGACCGTTATGTGAGTGATTGTTTGATTGTTTGTTTATTTCTCACTACAAATAATAACACAATCTAACTGTTGATGGCACCAAAAAATTTGCCATTGTTTTTCTATTTACTATAACTAGTAAATTGCAATTGATCTCCATATTAATGATTGATTCGAGGAACAACTCTTTCTTGGAAAGGTATCAATTTTCATCCGTCGACTTAAAAGAACCAATGAAATTTTTCACCTTGCTGTAATATACCTCCAAGAAAGTTGATTTCCATTCGGAGGTCAGTAATAAATATAAATTAAACGGAAAACCGGTTTACGACCGGTTAGAGTAACATTGTAGGAAAATCCGTGATAGGTTTTTATTACTTTCTCCGTGTGTACTTTATAAAAGTTCATTGAATAAGCATTTGCACCGTTGATGGAATTTCACGTGTAACTGATATTTTCAACTCTTCTGTGCACTTTTCAAGAAATTTTCGTAGCAAGGATAGCACAAATTACCGACGAGTATAAATAAAGTTCTTTGTTTCATCCCCGTATCCGTTTTACCTCTAACCCAATATGGGAACCATAATTTATTGGTAATTCATTTCCATCCGATTCAATTAAAATGTGTGGTGCAAGTCTCAAATTTCAAAAAAATAGGAAAGGCGGAAATTTTTCATCTTTTCGGTGTAAATATTTACAACACAATCTACTTTCTAATTCATTATAAATCTATTTTTATCGTTCCCAGCAGAGACGACGCATATACAGTACATATCAATCATTAATATTCTTACGAGTGTAATTGAGTGTAAGTCTTCTACACTCAATATCAAATCTGAATCATCATCATTTCCTGATGAATTGATTTCAACAAACTGTACTTACAGTATATGCTATTATTTTGTGTCTGCACCTGATGTCCATTATTCACTAAAAAAAACTTTGTCCCAATTTTCCACTCATGCATACAGCATCATATTTGTTGTTCCAATAACCAAATGACCTATTACAATCCCTTACTCATGTACCGTCAGATACGTATTACCGATTTGACTGCATATTACAAACAGATACATGCAGCATGTAACAAGAAAGATATGGGTAATTCTTTTCGAAGGCGGACAGGGATTTTTCGGTCGCTATAATTGTGAGCCGAAAATTTACATTGTGTATGTATTGTTTAAAAGTAGGGATCGAAAAAATCTTATCTAGCATTTTTGCTGCCTTCAAAAATAATTACCCATATTGCACATACACTATTTGTTTCATTCAACTGTTTAATGGGTGTTCATTAAAATTGCCGCATATGAAATTTATAATTTTTACTGTACCTTCTCGATATACTGTATACTGTGTACGCTAGTGTATACAATAGCAATTTTTAAGAAATACTGTATATCCAATATGCTACTTTTTTATTTGACTTTTCTAAATCAAAGTTTATACCATTGAAAAATGTTTTCAATGATTTTTTCGTTTCTTCAATAAGTTTAGAAGAAATATCCTGCACGCATAAATACAAAAGATTTATGCAAAATACAAACGATTTATGTAAAATACTGTACAAACGATTCTTCATATCTTCATATGTGATATACTGTATCCAATATATCTTACAGATGTCTTAAATATATTGTCACGCACTGTATATGTTTTTTTAAAAATATTTCAAATAAATTGGCTGTTTCAAGTAATAATAAATATTTTACAAAACTTATATTATTATTATCATTGTAATTATAACAATAAAAAAATAGGTTTAACACTTTCTGTTTCCATTTAATTTATTTTTGATTTTTTTAAATATGTTTTTTTTTTAAAAAAAATATATTGTTTAAAATTTAAATAAAATATTAAAAATAAAACACTTGAGAAATTAATGTTTATATTATTTAAGAGATTATTAATTAAAACTAAATAAATTTTAACTTTAATTCATTTATTTATTTAAATAACTGGTATAATTCATATTTATTATAATTAACTATACAGTATATACAGTATATGTTTCAATTAATAATATTTTATATTTTTAATATTTTTATATGATTTCAAATCTATTGGTTTTTAAAAAACTTATTAAAGTAATTGTTTATAATTATTTACTAAACAATTTATTATTATTACTTCTATTATTTTAAAATATCTTTTTTATTATCTATAATTTTTATAAATAAATTTTCTAATTAGAATATTTTAAAAATACTATTTTAATATTACTTTAATTTTGATTTAATATTTAAATTTATTATAAATAATATTATTTTAATATCAATTTAATGTTTTTCAAAACTTTATTTCTAATACTTATATAGTATATCACAATTATTAATTTAAAATAAATATTAATTATAATTTTTATAAAAAAAAAACTCTTTCTATCAAACATAAAAATTGTTAAAAATTTTTTTTTAGAAAACTCTAAAAAAATAGATCAAAACATTTACTTATTTCTTCAAATTAGAAAATATCAAAAGAAACAAGTAATCAATATACTTTTCAATAAAACAGGTAACTTCTACTTCAAAACTAACTATTTTTCTTTTATTTGTTTTATTTTTTTTAGAAAACAAGCAAAATTTTATAAGAAAGAAGGAAAGAAACAAAATAAACAATTCATAGTAAGATCAGAAAAAAAAAAACCAAGTATCAATCTTATAAAGCTATTAACCAGTCATGTACTAGGTTAGACATCTCCTTTAAACATCAATAAGACCTTGCATTGATCAGATCATATCCAATAAATTAGATAATTTTATATATTAACATAAAGCCAAAGATATACTATAGTTTTTCTTCAAATCTTAAATAAAAAAAAAAATAAAACAAATATGTATAATCTATACTTTATCAGATTTCATATAACATAAATAAGTTCTATTTACTTTAAAAAAACTAGAATCAGCTCATCTCTCCAAAAGATCTACAGCAGTATAATTATATTTACTTCTCAAAACAAAATAAACAGACTCTAAAACAAGCAAAACATATTTTATTAATAGAAAGTAAATATATCCTATCAATAGAAAATAAATATATTTTCAACAATCAATAACTCATAATCTGATACTTCAATTTTTAACAATATAAAAAACAACATATCAGATATATAAAAGATTTACAGTATATTAAAATATATTCAAAAGAAGAGTAAATACAAGAAACTTGT